CACCGACGTGCCGTCGCCAGACGACTCGAACCCAACGACCGTGCCGACGCACAAGCCGACCCACAAGCCCAGTGACAAGCCGACGCACAAGCCTACTGACAAGCCGACGCAGAAGCCTACTGACAAGCCGACCCACAGGCCTACTGACAAGCCGACGCAGAAGCCCAACGACAAGCCGACGCAAAAGCCGATCGACGTCAAGGACGCCAAGAAGGCGTGGGAGCAATGCGGTGGCAAGGACTACACGGGCAACGTGGCCTGTGCGACGGGCCTCGAGTGCATCAAGCAGGACGAGTGGTACTCGCAGTGCGTGCCCGCCAAGCGCTTTGGCTAATTCCATCGGTGACTGCGCACTGACTGAATGTAAATAAAAGACTGTATTTTGTAAGGTTGCTGGAGGTGACAGTGCTGGTATCGATGGATCGCGGTGTCAAATGGTACTACTATTCTCATGGACAGCGCCGCAGACGCTGTCTTGAATCGCTTGTTGCAGAGAACAAACGGCCATGGTGCAGTTGCTGCGACAGTACTGTACGTTGTAGCATGATGTTGTCGACATGAGAGTTGTTCTGCGCATAACATTGTCATTAATGTTGTCTTTGTATCGGATTTGTGCGCGAGCGGAAACGAGTTGCTCGTTGTCTTGATCTTTTGCCGCGACATCCTTCAGCTCGTCTGTCCTTCTGTAGAAAGCTCAGTCTTCAGCAGAAGACCTCTTTGAATCATGTTAGAGGTTGACAGTAAATTCTCCTAGTACTGCCCCAGTTTGGGGATGGCTACCGTTTAAAGTAGAAATATGTTTGCGCTACGGATCGACATCTGCTGGGCTATGCTAACACAAGTCTCATTGACCTCATCCCGTTGACCGGATTTTATTGGTGCGGATTTGTCGGCATATTCCAGCGCTTCATCGAGCCACACACATTTGCTTTTCTCTCGTCTCGAGCTTTTGACACCCCTTCAAGACATGCACACCACCCCGTACGACTTCGAGAACGGCAAGTATGCTGCCAGTCAGCCAGGCCAAGGCATGACCAACGTCGACCAGAACGGTATGCTCCTTGGCCAGTGGAAGGCGGGGATTTTTGCGTGCTTTGACGCATGCGTCCCCAACTGCCGGATGGCGTGGCGGTTGATCCTTGCGTGTGGTGGCTGTGCAATATTTCATTGATGGAGCCGTTGCTCGCCTTGGTCTAAAAACAGCTGCACTGTAGCTGTTTTTAGACCACGGCTAGTACAGGACCCGGCAATCGCGTTCAACCTATGGGGTCCATCCTTTTTTCCATTTTCACTTGACCACCCCTTGGACCCTAGAATTCACACCTCGACCCCTGGACCCACCCGCATAATTAACCCTCCCACGCCGGGACCGCATAAAAAGCACTTGGCATGCCCACACCCACTTGTGAATCGTTTGTATTTTAGGGCGACGATCGAGTGTGACAATCTCTCTCTCCATCTATATACTAGGCATACCTACTAAGGGCAGCTACCGTGTCGGTGTCCGCCGTACCAGTGCGAGGCGGGTTCCACAACCAATGGATTTGGGTGGGTCGTGAGTGTGGGCCCCATGTCAGTTTCTGCTTTGTACTAGTACGCGTTTTTCACACGAAACTCCCCCTTGCATCTCTTGGTTTAATTATAGCGGTGCCAATCGCTGCGTTCGAGGAACCCACTTTTGCATTTGTCTCGAGCTCTCATCACCTCTACGCTTGCCTTCCAAGCCATGAGCACTATCCCCCCTCACGACCTCGAGACCGGCCAAGCCATCCCGACGGCCCAAGCCGTCAGCCCGACGTGCCAAGTCGCCAGCCCGACGTACCAAGTCGCGAGCCCGATGGGCCAAGTCGTCAACCCGATGAGCCAGCGCCAGATCCTAGTCGACCAGAACGGTATCCTCCTTGGCCAGTGGAAAGTGGGGCTCTTTTCGTGCCTGGACTCTTGCATCCCCAACTGCTTGATGGCGTGGCTGTGCCCGTGCATCGCGTACGCGCAGATTCGCCACCGCATGACCGGGTCGTTCTGGGGCGCGTGCTGCTGCTTTTTGCTTTGCAATGGGCTTCCCATCTTCTGCATCCGCGGCGAAGTCCGCGAGCGCTTCCGAATCCCCGGCAACGCGTGCGAGGACGTGTGCTGCGCGCTCTGTTGCCCGATTTGCGTCCTCGCCCAAGTCGCGACCCACACAGAGTCGTACACGCCCGGCTCATGCGACTGCGGCCCAAAAGATGTCTTGCTCGGCTATACTGTTTGATCCTAGCGACATGCTAATATACTATAATCTGACTAAAAAGCTACTACTAGCATGCAGCACGTGTCACGAGCATGCACGGCTAGCGGTGTGCGGTACATGAATACACACAGAGGTACGTAGAGACGACGTCAATCTTGATGTCGCTGTGGAGCGTGATGTTCATGGCGACAACTTGCTGCCGCACTGTTTGTCAATGAGCTACTATGGTCAAGCCCTACGAAACTTATGGCCTAATCCCGATAGATTGCCATTGTACGGATATCCGGTAGTTTCATGCGGTGACTGAGACGCAATCAGTGTTTGCGGGAGCTTTTGACCAATGCAGCGACCTAAATAGCATCGCATGTGCATGTGTCTTGCCTTTTATGGCTCATTTAGAGGAGTACATGTCCTGGCTAAACGAACGCCAATCACTACGCTGAAGTCTTGGTCGTCAAGGTACCCGTAAACTTGTTGCCGTAGACGATCGTGGCCGTCGGCTGAATGCCCAGTGGGTTGGGCGTCGAGTGCTCTGCAAACCAGTGCGAGACGTTGCTCGTAACGAAGCGGAAGTACTGCCGAAACTGCGTGGTTGCCACCGGAAGAGACTCGTGCGGCGTCCGATCTGTGATCCAGTACAGCTCATTGGCTTGCGGCTCGTAGTAGCCATCGCGCTCACGGTCCAAGACACCATGGAGGACATCCACGTCGCCGTGGGCACCGACGATATCGTTCTCATCTGCGACGACCGTGTTCCAGACCTAGTTAGTAGAATAAACACACATTGAAAGTTTGATTGTATCAGTGGTGTACGCACCCCACACGACTTGGCGACCGTGGAAGCCATGTAGATACCACCTTGGAGCTCGTGACGGATCATCCAGCCGCGGCCCCAGCGAATCTCTACCCACTTGTGGCGTGCTTCACCAGCACCCAGATAACACTGAAGCTTGGCAGCGGACGGTGCTTCGACGTGGAGCCCGGGACGCCGTTGAGAGGTGTCGGCCTCGACAATGCCTTCGTGGATCGTAAGGTACCCCACCTTGCCGTTCTCGTCATGGTGACGGCAGCTGTTGAGAAGCGGGACATAGCGCTGACACTCGGGTGGTAGCGTCGTTTCGGCATGACCGATGATGAAGGGCATCATGTTGACGAGGAATGGTTTCGGTTGCTTGATGCCGTCAACGAGCTGTGTGAGCGGCGCTGGAAAGGTAACGAGTTGAGGAGTGTGCGGGATTGGCGTCTCGCGCGGCGTGTTAAAGGGCATACGGACGCGGGTAAGAGGGACGTAGCCGCGCTGGTCAGCCTTGAGTTGCGCCCGCCAGATCGCATGGAGATGGTTGACGATGGCCTTGAGAATGTCGGTCTGGCCTCGTAGTCCATGAAGCGAGCTTTCCTCGTCCAGTGTCCCGAGCAAGAGAAGACGTACGACCGAGTTGTGCCACAGCGACGTCGGTGCCATCTCGATAATCCAGAAATGATTTCGTTGACGCAGATCGCATCGCTGAGCACCGTGATTGGTGGAAATCGAGCCAATCGGACGCTCGTTGAGTGGATTTACTTCTGGCTTTTCTGCTTGCTTTGCGCCAACTTCCCGGTAAAGTTAGCGCAAAGCGAGATAGACGTGTGGTAGGATCAAGGTGCTCCTTTGAGCTGGAAGAACATCCGAGGACGCCGTACTGCGTCCCTTACAGCTTATTAACATGACGGTCGGAGCAACCTTACGCTTCGACTAACGTGTAAAGAGAGAGCAGCCCCGAACGTGAAACCGTGTAGTACAATCATCAAAATGCTAGAACATATCAACGAAAAGCATCGACGCGCGTATTTCATGACGACGCGGCGGGGCCTATGGGCGGCGCGCTCCTTAGTCGAACCAGGCCATGCCGGCGCCGTCGAAGTCGATGCGGTTGCCTTTCTTCCTGTTGCGGTAGACGTTCAACTGCCGCCGGAGGAAAACGTGTTTTGCGTGAAGTAAACATCTTTCTCTTGGTCATCGTGGTTGTAAACGTCGGGCGACTGCCAGCGCAGGCGTCGCGGACGACCTTTTCCTGGAGCTTCTCGAGGTTTTCGTCGGCGTTCTCCATTTTCTCCATGACGTGGTCGACAGCCGCTTCGATGATCTCGTGGATGAGGTTGTCGAGGATGCTGTCGGCCACCGTATGGGCCATGGAGCCGATAGTCGCGACGATCTCACCGCCGATGGGGGCAAAAAAAAGTCGCGTCGCGTTGGTTTTCGAGAGCGTCTTCTCGACGTGCTTGTGCACTAGGGGCCGTTCCCGTCGGCGTCCCACGCGTAAATCTTGACGCTGCTCTGCCACGTGGGGAGTTGATGCGGTCGCCGGCGGAAATGAGCAGTGTCTTGCGGTAAAAGAGACTCGGGTGCGGCACAGGGATGTATGTGAAGATGAGGACGAGCACGTCGTGCTGCGTGTCGTTGCGGATCTTGATACCCATGGTCTACGGCGTCGTATAAAAAAAGTAAATTGAAAGACGACGTGGTGGTGGCGGCGTGCGTCCAGACAACGGACGAGGAGAGATTGGAGCGTACCTGCCGGGACCAGCGTTGGTGGTCGGTCACGAGTGTGCTGGACGAGTTGTAGTGGATTGTTACGTGGACAACCATCAAACTGTCGACTTGGTACTACACAAGAAGAGGAAAAAAAGTTGTCCTTTCTCTTGCTTCAATCGAGACGGGCGGGCCGAACGAGGCCACGCAGCCACTTCGTGCAGAGAGGACATACATTTACCTCCACTGCTTCTTACTATGTACCATCGGGTGCAACCATCCCGTGTCGCCCAAGGTCGCATGGGACTTCGCAACACGGGCAAATGCGCACGACGCAGCCCGACCAATGATCTTCCTAACCCGAGCCCCGCCGCGCTTTGACTATGCGGAATGCAGAGGTCGATAGCGAGCTGTTCCCAACTACTTGCAGTCTCGCCAGGAATAGTGGAAAGAAGTCAAGGTGAGTGTAAAAATCAATTTGTAGCTCGACAAAGGGTCTTATAAAGGTAGAAAGGGCGTAAATCTCGTTGTAGAATATACCACTACTAGTTTAACGAGAGTACACCAGTGTTCGAATGCCTTGTGCTACAACTATAATACCTTGGTCCAGCAGCGACGAGAGTAGACTGCTAGAAGGCTCCTTGTCCAAGCCCCCAGCCAGCCAAGGGATTTGATTCTCGTGCATGCCGAATTAAAAAAGCCTATTTTCGGCATGTATATGCGACGTTCCATAATGCGCGCTTTGGATTGGTGGCATTGATGGCATTCATAACACGCTACATGGCGAACGCGTCGTGACACGACAAATTGCTGCTGCAGCTACCGTCGACGGCACTGCTTGAATTATTAACTCATTAGTAGGTAAAGTCTTACCTGTGAAATTTTATATTTCACAAAATAGACGTGATGAAAACACAGAGTATGATACCACTGAGTTATACTTCTCTGTCAGGCAGATCGGGGTGATTTCCGTGGAGCCACTTTCTGAATTTTTCCTACTAATGAGCGCCCCTTTACAAAACTTTATATTTCTTATACTTCCCTTCCTCGATCATCGAAGCAAGAGGCTTGCCCACCAAGGGCTTGAAGACACCAACTCTACTCCCAACAATCCCTATGGAAGCGGCCCGATCAGAGCACGAGTTGTGCTGCATGCTACGGACAGATGCAATGACTCTACATCGCTTCATCGGTCCCCAGCTGGCCCTCCGCCACAAGCTACATTTCGGGCCATTTGGATCATACCTTGCCGAGTTAAAGAGACGGCCACGCGGCAAAAGATCTGGTGTCTTGCTGACCGATGGCGTTGGTATCGCAACTTGGCACTAGCATTGTGAGATTTCCATCCTCCTCCTTCGAGTTTCAAGGAATGTTCAGCCGCCGCCACCATCACTCGCCATAGTGCACGTACGCTCTGTCGTCGGTCCAGGTCCTGCTCAGTTGCACATTTATTGGCGCGTGCCACTGAATTTACCGTAGTACGCCGCTTAGATTTCCGCAATTCCAACTGCCACGACAATAAAACATCGTCCAGCGCATACATTCTTCGAGTTGTTTTTATTTTTCGAGATCAAGGCGGGTTGGCCGCTCCACATGGCGGTGCAATTTCAGCGCAGCAGTATGGCAAACTTGCATTTCGCCCATGGTGCTGCCGCTGCCACCCGACTTCTTCGAGTGCCCGCCGCTGGCGCCGCACGAGACATCGGCGCTGCTCACGCTGGCCCAGACCATCTGTCAGGAGACGGTGCAGAACGCGCTGGTCCTGGACGCGCAGCCGATCTGGGCCACGATCGCCAACCCGACGACGCGCCGCCGGGCCCGGGTACGCCACCTCGCCGACCAACGACGATGGCTCATGCGAGGCGCAGCTGCGGCGCGGCCATGACAGCGTCGATGCAGCGCGCGATGCAATGAGCTGCTACACCCAGGTGCGCGCAACGCTCGAAGACGTTGCCAACGTCTTTCACTGCCGCTCGACGCTGGAGCTACGGACGTTTGGCCGCGTTCTGGGCAAGAGCATCCTCGACAAAGTCAATTTGTACACGCTCGTGGACCGGCCGGTAACGCGCGGCAAGGTACCGCACCCGCTGCACTACGTTGGCGTCGAGTGGGCCGCCCTTGACGCGCCCCTCGGATTTGCGACCCGCGACCTTTGCTACCTCGAGGTAGAGAGAGATTGCATGCGATAGACTCATGCGAAACTGCAGGCCCACGATGAATTTGAATTCGTCGACACGCGGAACCGCAAGCGCCGGGGCTGGGTCCGCGCGATCCACTCGATCGAGAACGACGCTTGTCCTTCGCTGCACAAGGCCCACGGACTTGTACGCGCCTCCATCTATCGCGTACGCTCTCTCAAAGCATCATCAGCATCATCATGACGACGACGACGAGCTCATGTGGCATCTCGATAGTCGGGCCATGTCTTTATCGAATCGGAGAGCAATCCGGAGATGCTCGACTACTACAACGTTCTCGTCGCCGACCCGCGCGGTCAGTTTGTCCCGCGTGCTGTGACCCAGCGCTGCATGAAGGCCCACGTCAGCCAGGTACGCGACATGCGACGCAAGTGCAATCGCACATGGCGACGTAGGCGTTGAATCTGGAAGAGCACTTGTTCCTGCTACGCCTCCAAGCTGAAACGACCGACACGAGCATGTCCTGGAACACGGCCGTGACATCCTCGATCAAGTCGACTGCGTTTTGCGCCTGCTGCGACGCCAAATTCGGCCTCTTTCTCGGGCGCAAGACGTGCGACCAGTGCAGCCGGATCGTCTGCAAGGCGTGCTCAGGGCGCTGGACCAAGGCGACCGGCGCCAAGCCCGTGACGGTCTCCATCTGCAAGCGCTGCTCCAAACGCCTTGGCGACCCGGAACCCGTGCCATTGGGCACCGTGACCCAAGCGCTGCAAGCCGCGACGCAGTACAACCTACGGTCGACGCGCGTGCCGGCGCCCCGCAGGCCGCCAATCGCACGCAAGCAAATGCCAGAGCCGTCGGACGATGGCGGGCACGACTCGGATGTCATTATGCTCTGGGACGACGGCCAAGCATCCAAGCGCGGGGGCACCTTTACGTTCTTGTCGTCGTCCACGTCGCTCCACCATACGCTGCGGTCGAACGCGTCGGGCTACCAGAGCACGTTTTGCTCGTACCAGTACTCGGACGACGGCGTCCCGCGCGTGGTGCGGACGGTCGTGGCGCCGCCAAGCGCCGCGGGCGTAGAGATGACTCCACCTTGTGTGTCGCCGGCCAACTCGGACTACGACGATGTGTTTGATGCTGTCTTGGAGTTTGTCACGGCGCATGAGCGCGAGCAAGCGAGGACACGTAGCGTACTTTAGTAAATAAATGCAGTCAGGATGAGTGAAATAGCGGTCGCCATGTATGAAAGGCAATCGTGCTTTTTGTGGTGTGTCCATAGATAGAGTGGTGGCTCGTGTGAAAGGTAATCGTGCTTTTTGTGGTGTACGCGCGCATGAAACTGAAACTGAACGTCAAACGTCCATCACCGCAGTTGCTAGCGCGTTCTTTGTCATTTTAGAGGATACACCGTCACGTCAGATAGTCTCGGACCCGACTGATAGCAACCTTGCTCTTCAGCAGCGTCTCGCCGTCTCGGGAGAGCGCGGGGCGTCTCCAATACAACACTATTCACATTCCAATATACACTATTTCACGTTTTATATAACACTATTTTATTCATGTCAGTAAAAGTGGCATCTGCCGCGCCCACAATGGCGTGCACTTTTTATTTGCGCAAATGAGTTGGAGTCCCGCCGCCAAGGGCCTCGCGAGTTTGCCGTTTGTGGCCGTCGCGGGCTGGGCCGGCCTCGTCCAGCTCGAGCGCTCCAAGGCCAACCACCCGCCGCGCGGCTACGCGTTCATCACGGGCTCGATGGACGACATGGTCATGGACACGCTGCAGACCGGCGACCTCGTCTTCTTCCAGCGCAACTGCGCGTACCTGCCGGTCTCATCATCGATGCGATGCGTGATCTCATGCCCGAAGCTCTTTGTAGCCAAAGGACGGTCTGAGCTGCTTCTTGTCCTCGCGGGTCGAGGCCTGGCAGGCGCGCTACAACCACGTCGGTTTTATCCTTGTCGACCGGCTCGGCGAAAAGTTCATCGTCGAAGAGACGTACGCCGGCGTCAAGTGCCGGCCGTACAGCGCCCGCATCCTCACGTCGCTCTCAACCGAGATTGTCGTAGTGCCCCTCAAAGTCAAAGTACGACGCTTTCAAAATTGCGTCGTCAACTCCGTATCTCTTTCATGTAGCGGACGATCGCCATGCAACAAGCCGCCAACCAGTTTGTGCAAGAAAACGTCAATCGACCCTCTCGCTTTACGCTGCAGCACGTACTCGAGCACCTCTCGACGTCGACCACGTCGGGCAGCACGCCCGTCCATCCGTCGGCCGGTGCGTTGTCGCCTTGTTCCGATAGATATATTGACCATGCTTGACGAGGGCACTGCATGTTGTAGGACTCGTCGCCGAAGTGTATGCGCGCATGGGCCTTCTGCCAGCGCAGGTGACGCCAGGCTACCTCCACCCGTCGTCGGCCACGATCAAGGTCCGTCGATTTTTTCCATGTCGCTCTCACGTGGTTTAGGACTGGAGTGCGTACCGCCGCGTACAGCTCCTCCACGACGCCGAGCTGAGCCAAATGCTGCCAATCCGCCTCTTGTAATCGCATTTGATCATGGACGATATAACACGAGGAAGATGCATTCTTGTTTGTGCATGCAGTATCTTGACTGCACGATCTATTGGCAAGGACTCAGACGTCGACTTCGGCGCTTAGACGTCGGGTCACTTGACGTGCAACCTCCTCCACGACGGTGGTGCCAATCGACGGCGCATTCAAGTCGAGTGCGACAAAGCCATGCCCGATCGTCGCGTCTGGCACCGGCGCTGGCGGCGGTGCGGCGACTGAGGCGCGCTCTCGAAGCGACGCCATCGACCGGTTGGAGCGCAACGAACGCACGGACGAGACGTCGGACGCGCCATCGTCGACGTCGGGGCTCGAGGCATACGTCGACGCGATCGTCGAGGTGATCGACCCGTGTCGTGACGACGTTCCGACGTCCACGTTGCCGTTTGCTTTGGCCAGCACGACGCACTCGGTGCAATACTTGCCCGTGACGGCTTGGGACGCACAGGCCGGAACGTACACGATCTTGGTCGTGCAGCCACTACACATGATCTATCCACGGCAAGAAAGGCAGTAGTACCATCAAGCAACAGTACTGCACTCGATTTACCTCGCCACAGAGGCGGCAGTGGTGCTTGGACCGGAGCGCGTTGAACCGCTTGCTGCACACCACACACGCCTTGCGATCGCTAGACATACAACCAATCGGGCAGGACGCCGGATGAGAGGACGTACGCATCGGGCACCCAGGACGACGCTGGCGGCCGGGTCACAATGCGACGGTACGCGGGAAGGGTCGCGGTGCGCAGGAGCATGTGGCGCACCTTGGCAGCGCCACAGTTGAGCAAGAGCGACGAGCTGTTGGGGTCCATGAACCATCGACAGGCCACGTCCACGTCGCCGCGCGGGCTCGCCGTGTAGACAAAGCTCGCCAGCATCGTCGCCCGCGTCGTGCCTTTCACTTCGGGCATCGCCGAGAGCGCCACCGACTCTCGCAGCACAATCAAGACGCGCGCGCCTTGCTCATTGATGCGCGTGCCCGAATGCTAGTGCAAGATACCGGTAGGCAAGGTGGACTACGGGTTCGTTGGCCCGAAGAATATGGATATCTACCTCGATGTAGGTGAGGTCGCGCGGCGCCGATGACATGGCGATGTTAAACTTAAGGTACTTGAGTCCGAGAAAGTCGCCGATGTCGTCCTTCTGCCGCGCCTCGAGCACCGAGAGCACACCGGCGTTGACAAAGTCGTGCTCGAGCAAGATCGAGTCGAGGATCTTTTGGTCGTTGCTCGTTTCAGCGTATAAGGCGTCGACAAGGCTAGGAAGCGTCGTGGGGAGGGCGCCTATCGCAAGGTACTGTGCCACGGACGAGCCCGGCATCGGCTTGGCGTAGACTTTGAGGCCGAGCCGGTCGTCCTCGAGGCTCCAGCCGCTGGTCGCAATCTCTCGCTTGACATCAAACTGCAGCGCTTTCGCACACCGCATCGCCGCATTGTTGCGGTAGGTGGCCGCGTCGGCGGTCGAGACGAGGACGGTCGGCACGACGTTCTCGTCCAGAATCTCCATCCCGCGTGGTGTCGTCAACTGCTAAAAACAGGTTCACAGGAAAAGAAGAGAGAAACTAAAAATCCAAAACCTCAGGTGCCTTTTGACGGGAGCACGCGGCAGAGGATGCATGGGCTCAGATAAGCGAGCACGCGGCAGAGGATGCATGGGCTCAGAAAGAGCCGTCCGAAGCCAGCTGTGTGCGATGGAGAGGAGTGCATTGAAACGGGAGTTTATGTTTTCTCTCATTTGGCCGCAAAAGTGCATCGACTTCAAGAGGGCAACTGGCGTCGAGCCAATGACACGGCGGCCATCGCGCTGTTGTTGGATGGTGCACGGACGAGCGAATCTCAATCTGAGTTTGTATCCACCCCACGGTTGCACTTGGTGGCAGTAACGCGGCCGCCACGTGGACGGCGCCAAGTTGGATGTCGTATAAAGTTCGATTTTGTCGTTCTATTGTTCAACTAGGAGGGGTGGCTTGCTCCCCTCGGCGAACACGCGCAAGCGTCAAGTGCCATTGCGTCTAGAACTGCTATTATCTTGTGAGGCTTTTGTATGTGGCAACGGAAACGACCATCTGCCGCAAGGCAGCGTGGCGTTACCGCCCTGCGGCTCTCGTCCTCGACTTGTCAAGTTCACTTTGGCGTAAAGTTCAAGATGCGCACCCGAACTTTGTCGGTTGGGTACAGCATCTGCTCGCGACAACTTGCTCTTTGTATGGCGCCCTTTCTAGCAGAATTGGCAGAGACCCCGTCGATATTGCGAAATTGCATCACGTCCGCCGACAGCCATGGGCCAGTTTGAGCAAGTGCCAATTGCGTCTCCGTCGGCGTCGCTCGTGATGAAGGCTGCACAGAAGGACCTCGAGCGCGACCTCGCGCAGCGCAAGCTCGAGTGGGCGTGCGTCTTTTGCATCGTCTTTATGATCGCCGAGTTCGTTGGCGGCTACGTCGCGGGCAGCCTCGCCATCATGTCGGACGCCGCGCACCTCCTCAGCGACGTGCTCGGGTTTCTTCTCTCGCTCTTCGCCTTGTACCTCTCCAAGTTTCCTGCGACGCGCGTCATGCCGTTTGGCTACAAGCGCGCCGAGGTCCTCGGCGCCCTCGGCAGCATCCTCCTCATTTGGCTACTGACGCTCGGCCTCGTCTGGGCTGCGATTGAGCGCATCATCTTGCTCACACGCGCGCCGCTGCCAGGCGAGATCATCCCGCAGGTCAACGGCAAGGTCATGTTCTGCGTCGCGCTGCTCGGCCTCGCCGTCAACATTGCGCTCATGAAGATTCTCGGACATGGCCACAGCCACGGCGGCCACGGTCACAGCCACGGCAGCACCAGTCACGGTCACAGCCACGGCAGCAGTAGTCACGGTCACAGCCATGACGGGAACCAGGCTGCCACAGAGGCCCATGGCCACAGCCACGGTGCCTGCGACCACGACCACGATCATCATGATCATGAGGAAATCCACGATGATGCTGTTGCGCATGACCATCACGACCATGACCATGATCATGAACACGCCAAGGAAGATGGCGATGACGCGTGCACGTCACGCGAGTCGATGACGGCGATTGACGTCGACGATGAGCCCGAGCCCGAGACCCACCTCACGGCGGCGTCGTGCGGTGGCCACGAAAACCTCAACGTGCGCGCAGCGTACTTGCACGCGCTCGGCGACTTTCTGCAGAGCCTCGGCGTGTGTATAGCGGGTGGCCTCATCTGGTCCGACCGACCTCCAACCACCGACTAGACGTGACTCTATTTCGCTGTAGGTATAATCCCTCGTGGCAGCTCTGCGACCCGATCGTGACGCTGCTCTTCTCGATCATTGTCGGCGCGACGACCATCGGTATTTGCAAGACGAGCCTTCTCGTGCTCATGGAGGGCACGTCCATCGAGCTGGGTACGACGCGGCTACCGTGGCCTTTCTCACTTTGCCCTTTTAGATTTGGCGGGTATTGAAGCCACGATTCAGTCGGTGGCGACCGACTACCACGACCTCCGCGTGTGGTCGGTCTCGACCGGTGCGTATGCGCTCACGGTGCATGTGGTCAGCCCTTCGTCGACGTCGGTGGTGGCGACACTCCAGCAGCGTCTGCTGTCGCTGCACGGCTTTGAGTGTCTCTCGATCCAAGTCGAGACCGCGGCCGACGCGGAGCGCTGCCCCTTCAACGAGAAGGAGGCGGCGGCCATGTGCATGGTTTAGCACCGTCGCATCAAAACTAGAGTTAGGACCTCCCATAAACTTGCTATGCCACACCATGATACATTGCGTCGTCATGAGCTTCGTTGCACGGCCCGTTGTGCGCTGCGTGACAGACATAGGACGAGGGGATCAACGCTGCAGCCGATAGAATGGTATCGCCACGTGCCACGACGAGCGCGCCTGGAAGGAAACACCGTGCATGGCACCGCCAACCGCAAGACACAATTAGATCCTTCCGTAACAGTAATGCGTACTAGTACGTGCCACTGTAGTCCCGACACCCGTGGCCGCACCGCCGTCTGCGCTCGCCGTCATCTCTAGCAAAAACGTGTGGGCCTCGGGTGACGCAAGCGCTCACGCCATCGGCGCGTGGCCCAAGGTCGCTGGCGGCGGCTCGGGCGTTTTGGCATATGCGCCGCTGAGCGCCGAGACCCACCACAGTGGGCAGCGATCGTGCGACTAGACAAGCGTGTCGGTTCTCCTTGGTGCCAAGCAAGAGCACCGTACTACCAGCGTACACCCGTTGGCGCACCTGGAACTCGCTCACGCGCGCAGCCTCGTCAAGCATCCACCCTGCCATCTTCGCTGAAAGGTTTAGTGTGCTAGAGTGTGTGCTGATTGTAGGGCGTAGGCATACTGAGAGATGGCGCCTCCCTTATCGTCCAAACCGACATCGTGGGTAGACGGTAGCATCGACAGTGTCTATTGATGTCTTACTCTTTGCCTGCCTGCTTGGCGTGCTGCCTACGACGCATGCATGAGACGGATGCCAAGGGGGATAGATGTACAGCTTGCGGAACTGCTTGCGGAGCTCCGAGGTCGCACTGAGATCGTTGATGCGCTCGAGCGCCTTGTTGTCTGCATAGAGGTAGCCCGAGATGCTGCCAATGACAGCAGACCCGAGGATCGTCGCAATCTGGTACGGGCGCGGGAAGCGGCCCACAACTACAGATCAGAACTGAGATGTGATTTGACACCAGAAGCAAAGAGCGTACACGTGACGCTGGAGCTCACAATGGCGCCGCCAGCAGCACCCAGCGCGCTGTACTCGCGCAGGTCCTTCTCGCGCTGGTCGCACCACGCCTTCTCCTCCAAGCTCAGCGCCGCCATACCTTGTGGTCGTTCTGAAATTGCACTTTCCACGCCACCGACACGCAAATAGTGTCTGATACGAAACCCATGGTCTCGTTCAATTCGTGCCCGGCCACGTTGGCGCGATGGCTGCAAAAGAAATCAAGATGGCACATTGATACCAACGCAATGAGCATTGGCGACCGCAGCACGAGCCGCATTGCCTTTTGGAAGATCCCTTCCTCCCATCGCCGTATTCCATACACTATTTACATATTTATAAATAGTGTGCGCATGAGCACCACTGATCTTTCAGTGGGCTTCAACGACCAAGTCCTTCGGCCAGCGAGGAAACGGAATACTAGCTATGAACATATCCTTGCTGCCAGAAGCTCCTGTCGCCGCTCTATCCCTGCTTCCACGACGCTATTAGTTCCCTTTGCTATAAGTTGCAACCTACGAAAGATCATCCACAAGGCACACGGAAATCGGGGAAGGATGGGATGTGTATTCACAGGGTCCGTTGTGACCAACTTAATGGCGTCAGCGGCCCGTCTCCACATCGTGCTGCTTAGTTGCTCGCTTCAAACTGCGTCGCGCGGATCATCTCCTTGAAGTTGAACGGGTGGAACTTGTTGCCGTCGGCCTTGTAAAACTTGTTTTGGAACTCGACCCAGTGGAGACGCAGCGCGTGGAGGAAGCACTCGAGCACGTCCATGCAGAGAATGACGCCAAACGTCGTGCCGGCGAAGAGCGCGAAGCCGATGAAAATCGCAACGAACGAGTCCATGTTGATGGTCGAGAGCATCGCCTTTTCGAAAAACACCGTCGCGAGTTCTACATACACATGAGCCATTGATACATTGATACCAATGTCCGACACATACCCGAGTGGGCCAGCGAGAGCGCCCAGAGACGCAGATACGACGCCGTGTTGGACACCATGCCAAGCACAAACTCGATGGTTTCAATGCCCTGGTGGATCGCGGCTTCGCCAAAGTTGAACGGCTCGTCGCCATGGCCGTGGCCGTGGCCGCCGTGGGCCGCGGGCGCGAGCTTGGCGTGGTCGTCGTCGTCGCTCAGGTTGTCAAAGTCGACCTGGTGCGACACTTCCTGCGCCGGGCTGCCATACTTGAACTTCATGTAGAGCGGATGGCAGAGCAGCATGATCGGCACCGACAAGCCCGCAAACGCAAGCAGCGTCTGCTGCATCTTCTTCTGGCCTTCGTACATGGGGTCGGCGACCGCGCCGGGCTGGAGGGCAATGTTGATGAGCGTGTTGATGAGCGCGGGCGGGCGGCAGCCGGTGGCCGGGCCTTCAAAGTTGAACGGGCACACCTCGTGGCTCATGCGCTCGGTCCAGTCGATGCTCCACTTCATGACAATGAGCACGACCATGTAGAAGAAGAGCGACGCGGCAAAGACGAGCTGCGGCAAGAAGTCAAAGAAGAACGTCGGGTAGTCCTTGAAGTAGAGCGCGTTCCAGCCCTTGATGAGGATACCAAAGCCCATCTGCGTGATGCCGAGAATGACACTGAGCTTCATCTTGAACGAGTTGAAGAAGAGCAGTTCGTTCTCGGACGTCTTCCAGATCGGGTCGAGACCGAACCCATAGACGTTGTGGCCGTTGGCGACATCGACGGTCCCGTTGGGCACGCCGTCGTAGTGGTAGTACGCCTCGCACTTTTCGTGCTTGAGACCGAGCTCCTCGCAGTTGTCCAGGTACTGCCACTTGGAGCCAAAGAGGTTGAGTGGCAGCGAGAAGAAATCGTTGTAGACAAAGCCCGCGTACATGGCGAAGACGCCCATGAGCGTGATCATGTAGCGACCGCCGTAGATCTGCGCCGTCATCTCGCCGACCTTGCCGCGCTCGAGGATCTTCTCGGTCGCAATCATGTACAGGCCAAAGAGGAAGATACAAAAGCCGTGGCCAATGTCGCCGTACATGACGCCAAAGAGGAACGGGAACGAGACGGCCGTGAAGACCGCGGGGTTGATCTCGCCGTACCGGGGCACACCGTACGTATCGACGAACGACTGGAGCGCCGACGTAAACTTGTTGGTTTGAAAGTGCGTCGGCGCGACCGGCCACGGCTTGGGCACCGAGTCGACGAGCGACGGCATCGACTTGTCATCGGCGTTGTGGGCGCGGTCCACGGCGCGGCGGACCTGGTCCAAGGCTTCCTTGACGACCCAGCCTTCGCCGCGGAGCATGCCGCTCACGTCCGCCTTGAACGTGTTGAGCGTGTGGTACGTGGCCTTCTCCTGGAGCACCGACCACTTCCACGACTCGTGGTGCTCGGCGAGCTCGCGGCAGAGGAGCACGCACGACTCGCGGTTGCGGCGCAGAATGTGCGAGCTCTGGTTGAGCTCCGCGTTGTTGTTCTGGATCAAGTTGGCGATCGCGGTGCGGTCGTCCATCGACGGCAGCGTGTAGAGACGGGCGTGGAACGCGTCGCAGATCTTGCGGAGCTTTGTCTCGATAAACTGCGACTGGAAAAGATCACAAACGCGTGCTTCTCGACCGCGACGCCAGTGCCCGGGTCGACGAGGAGCTCGTCAATGGCCGAGAAGCGCGTGAAGCAGTTGCCGCGCGTCGCACGGAACACCATGCGCTCAAACTTGAGGCGCTCGTCCGCGGGCACGACGCCCGTGATGTTCTTGAACCGGATGGCCAAGTCCGATTCGGACGCGTCCATCGGCGAGCCAACACCAAAGTTCATGCTGCTGCCCGTGCGCGAGCTGACGCGCGACGACGTGTCGCGGCGCGTCGCGTCCGGGAGCTCAATCTCAAAGAACTCGCCAACGCGCGAGATGATCTCCTGGAGTTCCTTGCGCTCGTTGTACTCGCGCGTGAGCTTCTCGTGCATCGAGTTGAGCTGGAGGAGCTCCTGCTCCTTGTCTTCGAGGATGCGCTCGAGCGTGTCGAGGGCGCGGACGGCCGTGTCTTGGCTGCCGTAGCGCACGTCCGCCGAGCCTGCAAGGAACGAGTCGACGCTGCCCGCGCTCTTGGCCGTGATCTTGAGCTTGGCCATCTCGCCCGCGAAGAAGCGCAGCTTGCGGTCCATCTCGTCGCAGCGCTTGACGTACGAGACGTAGCGCCGCTGGAAGGGCGTGAGCTCCGGGTTGAGGTCCGTGAACTCGACGACGCCGAGGTCGCCGAGCTTCTGGACGCAGTCATGGGCCGCGTCCTCGTTGACGATCAAGGAGATGTACTCCATCTCTTCCGAGCGGAGCCACTTCATCGTGCTGCTGCTGCTTCGACTGACTTGGAAATGCGACCAAGCCACACACAAGTCCCCTCAAATACCTCGCGTTGCGTATACTATACTCTGCCCTATACATTCGGAATGTATTTTTAGACGGCCGTTTAAACGTTTGGTGATAGGATGTTTAAACGTAGTAGAACGCGTCAGATATACGCGCTCTACAAGCTCAGAAGAGAGGCGTTTGCTCGACGACGACGTACGAGCTCCATGCTTCTAGTACCAAGGCCGTCAAGCATCTTGCATTCGCCATGGCAAATACATTTTTCATTTACTAAAGTTAGTATAAATTAGTGCCACGCGGTTGTGACGGCCATCAAGGCCGCTTCTCACTTACTCGCAATACCACGGTACTCTCGATCCTGGATGCTAGTGCTATGATCTGTGGCTTTAAAGTGCTCCGAGCGAGCGCAGACGCCTTGCCTGAAACACATTCGCCGATTTGAAAAGCAAGGCTACCCCCCAAAAATGGGCTAGCCACCGAAACTCGGCCGTAGAAGCGAGCCAGGACCTTGCCGCACTCAACGCTACATGCGCCCCGACGCTTCGGTAGAGAATTGGCGTTAGAAGAACGCCCGGAGATACATGTATTGGTAGAGCCCATAAGAGTGGTTTTGGAGCTCCGTGGCTTCTATGGTCGTCCCACAGCGATGCTACCTGGTACCTTCGACTGCGTGGCGCCGGGACGACCTCAATGGCATCCTATGCACGGTGCTCGGGGCGTTGCTCTCAACTGAACTACACCAACAAGTCACGCAAGCGTCGTCCAATTGCAGTATGCAGCGGATGTGTTTTGCCTTTCACGCTTCAAACGTCTTTTGACCGATTGCGTTAAATGCAGCGGTTGAAGCAGACGGTTTCCGAATCCCTCGTTACAAGAGCCTTTCGTACCCAAGAGACACCGATGTCCCTTGTTTGAAGAGCAAAGAGCGGACCACTCTGGAACTGTATATCCTCTGAAATCGGATACAAATCCTTGAACGTCCCACTGTGAGACT